CACTCCTGTGGGAAGGATGTGCTTAAAATTCTCTTCCAGTTGTTTCTAAATACTAAACCCAGAGTATGAACAGTGAGCTATGTGAAAAACCTTTTTGAATTGATATATTGGCTCTGGAATCCTCATCTGGTCTAGAATAAACATACATTTTTTTATGGATGTGGAAGTCTAGAAGCACTGTCAGCCTCCAAGTCTACAATGTCAGCATGCCAAGGAATTTCAGCTAGTATGTTTGTGCAATACATAAAAGTTAACTTGGTCTTGAGAGAGAGAGAGGATCACTTGGATCTAATTTTAGGAATAAATACTCCCAACAGCTGAGACCAGATTCATAAAACAGACAGTTTGCCCTGGTCTTTGTCTTACTGTATTCTAAACAGTATGCTTAGCTAGAGACAACAAATGATGCTTTGAGCTCTCTAATTCTAAGAAGCTTCACTAAATGTTAAGCTGGTGTCTTGTATGGTAGCTGGTGTCGGACAGAATTATTAGCACAAAAGATCTAGTTTATTGTTATGACACTATCTCTCTCATTTTTTTTCTTTAAGAATTAACCACAATAAATCCTATATTAATCCCTTATTCTAAACTTTACCTGTTAACTTGCCAAAAAATTGAGAAGTTCAGATGTTAATCACTTCTATCAGACTTTCTATTAACAAAGTTCAAAAGATTTATGGTAAAACCTCAAAAATATTAAGTATTATATACCTTCCTCAGTGGAACAACTAATTGCAGTCTTGCTGTGCCTAAGAAAACCCTGGATGCTCAGCTTGATGACCTGCATTTAAAATGTCATCTACTTTTTAGCTATTGGCTGTAATTGGCTACATATTTTGGCATGCACTGGAGAGCCACTTCAGATTGTTAAACAGTTCAAATGTTTTGCTTTTGTCTTTTACGCACACACTATACTGGTAATGCAGGAATGAATAAAAGATTTTTTTATCAGTAAAATCTAGAGCTTTCAGGCCTGTTCTGGACAAGAAGTAGATTAATTATTTCATTAATTGAAATACAAATCAAGATTAATTTCCCCCCTCTCCCTTTTTAATCCTGCCATCAGTCTACAAAGATGATTTCTTTGCCTCTGACTTCAAGGGCTTTTATTTATGTCTTCATGCTGCTAAGCTCTACCAGTGTTATCTACAGTTTGGACTTTCTCTGAGTCCTTTCCACTTGAAGGTGTAGCAATCTTTCCATTTGTTTATTACTAGCAAACTGCCTGTCAAGAATGATTGGGGGGCGGGCGGGGATGGAGCCCCACGTCTGGCACCCCCCTGCCCTTGCTCTGCATCCACCTTCCCCACTGCCACTCTGTGTTTGCCTGCCCCCCCCCCC